TGCCCCCCCCCCCCCCACACCCACCCACACACACACACACACACCACCCCTCCCCCCGCAGGAGCCCTTCGCGAGGCGCGTCCTCGGCCACGCCGGCGCGCGACAGTTCCCCGACACGTCCATGACAGCTCCCTGGCATGTCCCGCAGACACGTCCTCGGCCACGCCGGTGCGTGCGGCTCGGCGGTGCGGAGCCGAGCCAAGCCGTGCGCGGACAGCTCGCTTCCGTCCTCGATCGTGGCGCTGCGGCTGGTGGAGGGGGAGATCCTTCGCGGCCGGCAGTCGCAGCCGCCGGTGCTGCGGCTCGCGCGCTTCCCCCGCCCCGCTGCAGCGGAGGCGGAGCTGGCCGCGTGGGTGAGCGAGCTCGCCGACGCTGACGAGGGCAGCTCCGGCGGCGGGACGTGGCGCGCGCGCACTTCTTCACGCGCCACCGCCACACCCCACCCGTCCGAACGCCCCGCCCCGCGCGCGGCTTCCACCGCAGGCGGACCGCGAAGCAGCCGGCGCCGCCGCTGCGAGGCGCGCAGCCGCCCGGCTGGCCGGCGCGCGCGCAGGCCGCCTTCCACTCCTGGGGCTACCTGCTGGTCCTTCTCTGCTTGGGCGCCGGCGGTGCGGCCTTCCTCTTCGGCGACGAGCTCCGCCAGTGGTACGCAAAGCTCAGCAAGGCGGCGGCGGCGGGGGCAGCGCGCCCCTCGGCCTCCTCCTCCTCTTCCTCCTCCTCCTCCTCCTCGCCCCCGCCGCGCCAGGCCGAGCCGGCGGACGGCGGCGCCGAGCGCACGGGCAGCTCGAGCGCCTCCGACGGGAGGGCGAGCGGCGGCGGCAACGGCAATGGGAGCCGCGCCGCGCCGGCAGGGCCGCCGCCAGGCGTGCCGCAGCTGAGCGAGCAGACGCTCGAGCCGATCCTCGCCGGCGGCTCGTACGTCCTCCTGTTTGTCACAAACACGGGCGTCGCCGAGCGGTCCACCGTCCACTCGCTGGCGGCGCACTTCGACGCCGAGTTGCGGGGCGGCGAGCGGCGCGGCTGGTCCGTCGCCCTCCTCGACTACAGCGCCGAGTCGACCCGGCCGGGCAAGCCGCCGCTGCTGGCGGCGCTGCTGCCTCGCGTGCGCCACTCGGTCGCTTGCGTCTTGCGCAAGGGCTGCAAGCTGGCCACCTTTGGCGGCACGGCGGCGCCGAGGCCGATCGACGACTGGCTCGCCTCGCTGCGCATGGGAGAGGTGAGTTGGGCGGAGCTCGACTTGGCGGCGGGGAGCGGGGAGGCAAGTCGGGCGTGAGGCATCGACGGCGGGGGTGGCCGTGGCGCCGCCCGCGCCGCCCGCGCCAGAGGATTTGGCCGGGCTTATTCTGGCACGTGGTGTGCGTGTGCTGCTGTGCGCAAAACCCCCGCCGCGGGCGCCGCCCACCCTCATCGTTATTCCTCTCCGCAGAGTCTCGCTCAGTGGTTGTGCCAAGATATTAATGATGTATATCTCCGCTCTCGGCGCTCGTGGCGGAACTCCGCGGGAATCCCGCGGTGTTGGGCTCTCCGAGCTTTTTGAGACCCTTTTGTGATTGGAGATTGCGTGCTTGCACGTGTGCGCTTTAGCTTTAGGTGGATCTCCGACACACACTTTTAGAGCCGTACGCAGAGTGAGGAGCCGGGCGGACAGCTGCTGGATTGCGCGCCATCTCGTGCTCACGTGTGCCGGTTGAGATACCAGATGTCGAGGTTGAGAGCGGCCGCAACCGCGACCCACGCAACCCCCGTTCACGCTGCTGATGACCGCCGCCAACCACGGCTGCGAGCGGGTGATCGAGCTGCTGCTCCGGCGTGGGGCGAAGGTCGAGGTTCCACCTCGACTTGCCGGCGGGAGCCGATTAAAAAGAATCTTCTTAAATAAAAGAAGAAAGAAAGAATTTCAACAGAGAATCAAGGGCAGGCTGTAAAAGAAAGAAGAAATCAGACCAGCCAAGGGAGGGATGGGAGGACGGCACACCGCCACCACACAGGGCTGTGTGTTAAGCTGAATTAAATTCCGAAGCGAGCTTTGTTGTTTGCTTCTTCAAATTCTTTTCCGGTGGACGGACGATTCGCGCGCGTACATGGGTTGCTCAAGTTCCAAAGCGCCCGAACCAGAGGCGGTTGGGTGCGACTTCACCGCTGCAGACCCGCCTGCCTTCCCGGTCTTCACGAGAGGTGCGTCTCGCTCGCAACTGTCGCCTCGTGCCTCCCCGTTCATTCGCTCTCACTCCCTCGTGGCGAATTTGCAGATCAATTTCATGACGATCAAACTCTGAATGACTTGAACGAGAAGTCACTCGCAAAAGCCCAGGAGACAGCGGCAAAGAGCAGAGAGATTATGGCCAGGGCAACAGGTAGCTGACTTCGAGGAGGAGCTCCGGGCTGCAATGACGAGACCTCCAATCACCGAAACAACAGCCCTGCCTCACTGCCTCACACCTTTCCCTTTGTACATGCATGCCGCTTGACTCGCTTTGGCACGCCCCGTTTGCTTTAAGCCCATGCCCCATGTCCGTACGCCCCTGCCTCTTTCTCTTTCTCCCTGAAGTACTTCTCGAGAGTCTCGGGCGTGGCCGGCGCCGCCGCCGCGCGCCGGAGTCGACGGTCGGACTCGGGAGGCGAGACTGTGTCGGAGACGTGCGAGGTACGAGAGAGTAGCGAGACCTGGGAAAGGGAGTCTCTTGGAACATCAGCTATCACTGCTGTAGATTGGCATCATTCCTCTCAAACTCAACTTCTACTGTTGACTGTTGTTTCTCTACGAGCAGTTCCTGTTTCAATAAATAAATAAAACGGGCAAACTCTGAGACGAGATGGGATTTAGGGACATGTGTCCCCGCCCTGCAGTTCCTGTTTCAATCTTTACAATCTATAGACAAAATCCCAATTCTCATCTCTGCGATCTGGCTTTTCCGCCGGCGGTTCCGGAATACGCTTCCGCGAACCGAGGCTGCCCCCAGCAGGCGTTTGACCAAAATTCAAATTCAATGTGACTCTCCCTTCACCCCCGCGAAAGGGGCCCAACCCCCTCCGCCGCCCGCTCCCGCCGCTCGCGCTCTCGCTACGTCACTCGGGCTCGTTGCATTCCGCATCCGACTCGGGGCACGGTCTGAATGCCCCCCCGGCCCGCGTGCTCCGAGGCCCGCACGCGACAGAGGTGAAGCAGGACGCCGAAGTCGTATACGACCGGCAGCAGGCCGGTGTATGACCTTCCGGGGGGCGGCTACGTGCCAAAGACGGCGATGGCGGCGCCCATGGCCGCGACCCCGACAGCCAGGGCGGCGAGCGGGCCATAGAGGCCCAGCCCGACAGGGACGGACCCGAAGAGCAAGGCGGTCGCGGCGGCGAGCAGCGCGTAGGGCGTGATTGTCGCAACGTGGGCCTGCAAGTCGCACCTCGACGCGAGGACCTGCTCGCAGCGGAGGCGGCCGTGGAGAGACCGAGGAGCGGGGCAGGCGCCACCTCGGCGGCGGGCGCCGTCAGGATGGTCGTGTCCGAGATGGGGGAGCAGATGTTGCCGAAGGTTGCGCCGCCAAGGCAAGAGCCGATGCAGTGGAGGAGGTACTCGCGGGAGCCGCCGCCGAGAGCCTGCGCGAGAGGCCCCACTAACGGCAGCACGATGCCTGTCGGGGAGAGAAAAAGACGTGGCGCGGGCCGGAAGAGCGGCAGGGCGGTGCCCGTCGTCCGGCTATATCTCGGCTATATCTCGGCTGCATCTCGGCCGCACCTCGGCTGCATCTCGGCTGCATCTCGGCTGGATCTCGGCTGGATCTCGGCTGCATCTCGGCTGCATCTCGCCCATCGTCCCGAAGGAGGAGCCGGACGCAAACGAGATGGCGTGCGAGAGCAGCGCGACGATGGGAGGCAGCGACCAGCGCGGCAGCCCCTCGCGCAGCGATCGGGCGAGGAATGTGGCGGTGCCGACGTCGGCGATGACGGCGCCGAGGGCCCACGCGAGGAGGAGGACAAGCATCGGCTCGAGGACCTCCTTGAGCCCCTCCGCCCACGCGGCCATCGCCTCGTCGAGCGCGAGCGCGCCTTGCGCGAGCACAAGCCCGAGGGCAGACAGCCAGCCGGCGGCGGAGGCCCAGATGAGGGCGGTGATCGAGTCGCTGTGGGACAGGATCGAGACGAGCGAGAGAGGGGGGCGGGACGCGTCGGGCAGCGACCGCACCTTCGCCGCGCCGTCGGCTAGCATCCCTCCGAAGGTGGCGAGGACGATCGTCCCAAAGGGAAGGAGGGCGTTGACCGCGCGGAGAGGCGTCCCCGCCTTGGGGTCGAGCGGGCCGGGCCCTCCCTCCGCGACCGCCCCCTCCCCCTGCCCCTCCGCCCGCCCCTCCCCCTGCCCCTGCGCCCGCCTCTCTGCCGTGCGGCGGGGCGAGGAGCGAGGCTGGCGCGGCTTGAACTCTGGCCGGCCGAGCGGGCCGAGGTCCTTCTGCAGGAGGATGGAGAGGGGGAGGGCGGCGAGGGCGAGGAGCGGGAAGAAGCGGTACCGCACCGACGACACCGCGGCGAGGAAGGGGTCGTCCACCTAATCTCGGGTCATCTCGGGTCATCTCGGGTCATCTCGAGCTGCACCGCGGAGGAATGGCTCGTCCACCGCCCCGATCTGCTTGAGGAGGGCGCCGACGTACCCGATCTGGAGCCCCGCCTAGGCGAAGCTCCGGGGAAGGCTCAGAGAAGCTTCCTAGGAAGCGGCCGCCGTGCCCGGCCTGCAGCTCGCCAACGAGGACACCATATCTCGGCTGTCTCTCTCGGCTGTCTCTCGGCTGTCTCTCGGCTGTCTCTCGGCCGTCTCTCGGCTGTCTCTCGGCTGTCTCTCGGCTGTCTCTCGGCTGTCTCTCGGCTGTCTCTCGGCTCTCTCTCGGCTGTCTCTCGGCTGTCTCTCGGCTCTCTCTCGGCTGTCTCTCGGCTGTCTCTCGGCTGTCTCTCGGCTGTCTCTCGGCTGTCTCTCGGCTGTCTCTCGGCTGTCTCTCGGCTGTCTCTCGGCTGTCTCTCGGCTGTCTCTCGGCTGTCTCTCGGCTGTCTCTCGGCTGCCTCTCGGCTGCCTCTCGGCTCTCTCTCGGCTGTCTCTCGGCTGTCTCTCTCTCTCGGCTGTCTCTCGGCTCTCTCTCGGCTGTCTCTCGCCCAAGAGGAGACGGGCGAGACGCTTGCGAGGACGACGCCCATGGTGTGGACGAGCAGCGCGAGCCGCTCGGAAGGGACGCCCAGCGCCGCGATCGCCTCGCGCATCGACGTGCCCACGATGAGCACCGAGGAGTAGTCGTCGAAGAAGATGAGCGAGCAGAGAGCGCCGCACGCGCCGAGCCCGCTGCGCGCTGACGTCATGAAGCGGCGCAGCAGCGCGGCGAGGGCGAGGCCGCCGCCCGCCTTCTGGACGAGGCCGATGGTGCCGCCCAGGAGCAACGTGAAGAGCACCACGCCCGCGTGCTCGCGCTCCGCCAGCGCGTCCACAAAGTACGAATCAAACGTGCGCGCCGCGGCGAGCAGTCCGTTACCGCGATGGACGAGGAGCGCGCCGCTCCACACGCCGAGGAGGAGGGCGAGAATTACCTGCCGCAACGCCACCGACGCGGAGAGCGCAACCACCGGAGGAATCAGCGAGAGCCAGCCGAGGTTTGGCGCTGCGGCAGCATCGCCACCTCGCAGCCGCCACAGAGGGACAGAGGCCGGAGCTGCAAGTGTGCCGTCGCGGGTCAGCGCAGGTGCCACTGCTCGAAGCAGCGGCGGGCGAAGCGCGGCCTCGCCCGCGGCGGCCGAGAAGCAGAGGGTGGCGGCGCAAAGCCAGTGTTTCGGCCTCATGAAAAAACCGCCGCGGAAAAACCTGCGACGGAAAAGAATTCTGAGTTGCGATTTTAGGAGAGGAGTAAACCGCACGCAAGAATGCGGAGGCGGTGTGTGTGTGCATGTGTGTGTGTGTGTGTGTGTGTGTGTGTGTGTGTGTGTGTGTGTGTGTGTGTGTGTGTGTGTGTGTGTGTGTGTGTGTGTGTGTGTGTGTGTGTGTGTGTGTGTGTGTGTGTGTGTGTGTGTGTGTGTGTGTGTGTGTGTGTGTGTGTGTGTGTGTGTGTGTGTGTGTGTGTGTGTGTGTGTGTGTGTGTGTGTGTGTGTGTGTGTGTGTGTTGTGTGTGAGAGAGATTTTTAGCAATACCAAACAACTCCAACACACTCACACGTAATTTGGGGCCTGGAGCCCTGTTCACGCGCGCGCGAGACGTGCAGACAGGTGTTTTGTGTGAAGAAAACAGAAAGCCAAGGGAGGGATGGGAGGACGCGGCCGCCAGGACGGCAAGCCGCCACCACACAGGGACTGTGTGTGGGAGTGTGGCGGAGCACTGCCACTGGGCTGGTGTTAGTTCTTCCTACCTACCAGCCCAAGTTTGGAGGTCGTCACCAGGATCTCTGCTCGAGCAGTCATCGATACGTAACTTCCAATCCGCCAAAATCAGCTTGATTCTCCAATTTCGTCCAATTCTTTCCAATTTTGGCGTTTGGTAACTTGGACTCGAAGGGATGCCGCTCTTGAAGCTTTTACACCGACAACAAGTAAGCGGAGTGCAACACACAGCATGGACGTAGACGTCGATGCGACCTTCCCTGCGGTGCTGCGCCGCCAGGCGGAGGTGCTCAGCGACGCGCCTTTCATGCGTGTCTGGGCGCGCGGCGAGGGTCAGGTCTGCAGCTTCTCCTTTCGCAGCTTTGAGCTGCGCGTGGCCATCGCGAGAGGTGCACTCGCGGCGCACGGTGTGGCAAGGGGCCAGCGGGTGGCTCTGCTCTCGCACTACACGCCCCAGTTTGCGATTTATTCGCTCGCCGTGATGTGCCTTGGTGGCGTGAGCGTCCACCTCAACTGGCGGCAGGTGCGCTTGACAAAGCCCTGCCTCTCCTCTCCCCGCCCACTCCTTCAGCGTCTTCAGCCCCATCCACTTCCGGTCCAACCCTCCTCCCGCGCAGCCTGAGCACGTCATGACGATCATGGCCCAGATGAGCAACTGTCAGTGGCTCGTGGCCTCGTCGCGACTCGCCAAGGAGGCGTCCACGGTGGCTCACACCGTCGGGAAGCAGCTCCGAGCGCTGCTGTGGCTGCAGCAAACCTCGCTTGCGGGCCAGGCTCGAGAGGTGCTCCCGCAGGTGGACCAGCCGACGCCGCCGAGGGAGCAGGCTGTGCCCGCGTACCCTGATCTGCTGCCCGATGACGAGGCGCTGGTCATGTTCACGTCGGGCTCGACGAGCACGCCCAAGGCGGCGCCGCTCACGCACCGCGGCCTCATCTGGACGTGCCGGGCCAGGCTGCGGGGTGCGCCCTCCGAGGCGTACCACATCGGGGCGGGGACAGTCTCGCTGCTGCCAAACTTCCACGTCATCGGCTTCTCCAACAACCTGCTCTTCAACCTCACTGCCGGCATGTGGTGTGCCGTGGACCGCGACGCGGGATCCATGCCGTTGCAGCCGGCGGCGCTGCTCGAAGCGTGCGCGCGGCTTCAGCCGACCGTGCTCGACTCGGTGCCGTGGATGGTGGAGGAGATGCTGCAGCTGCTGGAGCGTGGTGAGGCGCCACGAAACTGCCTCTCCTCCCTCCACCATATCCTCGCCGGCGGCTGCGCCCTCAACGAGCCGCTGCTCCGCCCGCTGCTCGAGCGGCACGGCGTCAGAGTGTGGCCCCACTACGGCCAGACAGAGGTGGGGGGCGCGGCCCTGGTGGGCGGTCTTCCGGGCAGTCTGAGAGCAATGCAGCCGCTCCGAGGGGTACGCTACGTGCTCGTTGACCAAGACGGCGCCGAACGGAGCGACGAGGGCGAGCTCGTCCTCCTCGGCATGCGCTCAGCCACCGCCGGTTACTTGGGCGGATCCTCAGGGCGCAACCTGACTGGCCGGCACGGGGGTCGCACGGTCGACGGGGGTCGCACGGTCGACCGTTACCACACGGGAGACATCTTTCGCACGGTCAAACCGATGGATGAATTGGCGAAAGGCCAAGAGTGGCTCGAGCACGTGTGCCGGCGGGACGACCTCCTCGTGCACACGAGTGGCGAGATGACCAACCCGTTGCCGCTGGAGGCGGAGCTGCTGCACCGGCTCGCGCGGTGCGGCGAGCCGGTGGCAGCGCTCTGCGTCGTCGGCCAGCAGCAGCCGCGGCCGTTCCTGGTCGTGCAGTACGATGACGCGCTCCCTCCCCTCGCCGGGGCAAGCGCAAGCGCGATTGCCGCCGCCGTCAAGGGAGGCATGTCGGCCGAGAGCCTCATGGAGGGGCGGATGCGCCGCCGAGTCCGGCAGGCAGCGCAGCGCGCGGCAATAATATTGCAGCTCCCCGAGGTGAACCTCAGCCTCCCACAGTGGTCGCAAATGCACGAGCGCTACACGTTTTTCATCGACAGTTCAGAGCCGCCGCTGCCAACCTCTGCAAAGGGCAACGTGCTGCGCGCGCAGGTGGAGACGCGGTTCAGGGAGGCGATGATCTTGCGCATGACGCTCCCTCCGCCGAGGGGTCTTCTCCGGTCGGACGAGGGGGACGACGAGGGGTCAGACGTTGGCGACATGGAGTCGGGTGAGATGGACTCGCTCGCAATGGTTCGCGCCCGCCCTGGCAGGATGCAGTCGCCACTGCTCGGCCGGGCCTTCGTCAATGGGCGCGGCGAGCAAGAGCAGGAGCCAGCCATCCAGGCGGCTGTCGCTCGCGGTCACATGTACTTCGTTGCTACGTTACACGTACTCTTGCACCATTGGGCCTATTACGTCAGCCCGCAGCCGCTGTGGCGAAGCGCGGTGGCGCCGCAGCCCCGCCAAGTGCACCTCCACCACGCGCACGGCGGGCCTGCGTCTCCCGAGCACAACCCGCTCATCACCTTTCTGCACGATGCTACTTACCCTCTTGCCATGCCGGCCTTCCTCGCCATGCTCGGGATGTGGGTCCCCAACCGCCCGCCGCCGACGATGCTGCGCATCACGGGACGCCTCCTCTTCCTCGGCCTCGTTTCGTTCTACTTGGTCGCCCCCGCCACCCTCGCTCTCGAGCGGAGAGTGCTACTCGCTGAGGCAGCCAGCTGGGACAGCTCGCCGTCCCTGGCAGAGTACAGGCTCAACAAGACCTACTCGCTCCTCTTCAACTACCAATGGTTCGTATTCTCTGCTGCAGTCTACGTGTTCGTTGACTATCTGGCGCGGCGCGCCCGCCTGCCGATGTGGACAGTCGCACTGTTCTCGCTTGGCATGCATTTCAGCTGCTTTGGACGGTGCCCGTGGCCATTGATGCGCCACCCTATGAACATCGGCCCGACCAATCCAATGGACGCGCAAGAGATTGCGCACACTGTGCCCTCTCTGACCAAGTTCAGCTCGATCTGGGTCTTCTACTCCTTGCCTCGAACCTTCCTGCCCACCAATTTCCCGGCAGCCCTTCCCTTTGAGGCGAGCCTCCGCCGGAGGGCCGCGGCAGCAACCGCTGCCGCTGTTGCTGATCCCGATGCCGCGGGCTGCTCGCGCAGCGGCGGCCGCCTCCGCCGCTTCCTTGCGTCGCCCCGCAACGTCAGGCCGATTTGGGCGGTCCTCGTTGTCCTCATCACAACATTGCACATCATGGCTCCGCCGTTCGGCCTGTTCGACTTTAGCCTCGACCGCTCGCCGATCGTCATGGCCTACGGCTGCATGCGGCGCCAGGATCGCGCGTTCCACAACACGACGCATGCCTGTGGCGGCTCTAGCGGCGAGGATCCAGTGTGGCGGCTTGGGACGGCTCTGCACGACGCGCTGCACATCGTCCTGCTGTGCTGCGTGATAGTCGGCTTCGGTACGTGCATGCCTCGACGGCGCTCGTGGCTCAGCGCCGTCGGCAATGACTCCCTGTGGTGCTACCTCTTGCACATTCCGCTCACGCCGTTGGTGCAGTCCGCCACGGTCGTCGTGCTGCTCGACCTCGTCGATCCGGAGCCCACCTCGCCTCTGCGCGGCCTCGCGTTCCTCGCGCTCGTGGTCTATCTCCAGTTCCTCCTCTCACGCCGTCCCGATATTGCCAGCGTGTCGCGATTCTTTCAGCCAATCTTCCAGCTCTGGAGCTGGACGAGAGGGATCCGCGCAGCATCGCGGCGTCCAAGTTGGCAGCAGATTGGAGCGGCGATCGCCGCCCTTCTCTGTACGTCTCTTGCCGCCGCCAGTTGCATCTTTGCCATTGCGACCCGCACAGCGCCGGTAGCGCCGACGATCCCCGGTCCGCCTGCCTTGCGAATCGTGCAGCAGCAGCCTGGCGGCCTAGTCCCCGGCGCAGCGGTACCGCTAGCGTCAGCGCCCGAACCGGAGGCGCCAAAGACCTTACTTGATCTGGTCACATCACCCGCACCGCCTCCGCGAGGGCCACGGCTGAGGCACTCGCATCCGCTTCCGAAGCCGAGGGTCGCGCGCGCTGACTTTGCTACTGACAAGCTCGTCAGTAGAGGCACCAGCAGCGACCACGAGAGAGATGCAAAGCCGCCGCGCCAAAGCTCCCAATCCACGAACAGGTCGAGCAGTTTTCGATGATGATTCGGCGCCCCTTCTCTGGTCGGATCGCGTTCAGACATTGCTGCACACACACGCGCGCACACACACGCAACTTGGGCAAGCCGATAAAGCCGCCCAGGGTGTGTGTGTGTGCGCGTGCGCGGGCCGCTATGCGCCTGTGGCGCGGGGGGGGGGGGGGGGGCTCCGGCCTCCGGCCTCTGCAATTTCACTGCGATCCCCGTCCCTTCCTCTTCCCTCTTTCTTGTAAAACTTGTGATTGAGCTCGCTTCTTTTACATCGATGTCTCGCACAAACGTGAAACGATGTCGCGAGCTACGCGGAGGTCAGTACGGCTCTAGAGAAGAGACTCTCTCACGGCGTTCACGGGTTGTGTCCTCTGCTTGGTGCGAACGTTGCACCAACCTTCTTATCCACGCCGTGATTACTCGCCGAATAGTGCGCGAGTGAGGGCGTCGGCGCGCGCGACGTAGCCCTCGGGCGGCTGTAGCCCGATGGAGGCGCACGCTTGATCGAGGATGACTGGGATCGGCGCCTAAGCACAATCCGATGGGCGAGGTGAGGCGGGGGGGGACATCGGCGGAAGAGGTGGTTGAGAAGCACGCCTCTTGCAAGCCGAGGGCGTTGCGTATCCGTCGCGCCTTGGCAACCAGTCCGCCGCTGCTGCCTTCTCCCTCAGTGCCTCCACCGCTGCCACCTCCTCTGCCACTGCCGCTGCCTCTACCGCCCCCACCACCGCCACCGCTACTGCCACTACCGCCGCGGCCCCCTCCAGACGTCCCGGGAGTGCCGTTGCTCCCATCTCTCTTCGCGTTCCCGCCCTCACGCTTCGGCGTGACGAACCCGCTCGAGACTGGCGTGGGCGTGCCGCCATCGCAGCTGCTGCCGTCGGGCGAGGCGGCAGCACGGCGGTGCGTCGGCGGCGGCTCCGCGTCGAAACACTTGGTGGGGCTGGCGCCCGGTGTGCGGGCACCCGGCGGTGGCACCGGCGCGCGCGCCCTCTCGCCGTCCGCCGGGCCGGCGCCTCGCGCCGCGGCGGCCCACCCGTTGGCTGCCTCGCCCTGAGGCGGCCAGGCGTTGAC